CATCAACTTCTAATACATAGCCATAATCCCCGAGATCATCAACTGACATTACATCGAGTTGATTAATTTCCTCCGTCGATAACCATGCAAATTCTCCTGTGGGTAGTGGCTGACTCATACTATACCCATAGAGATTTGTGGCATCAATATAATGTATAGAGGACTTTGGCTCGAAGGGATTATATTCCGATAAATACTGATTATTGGCAATATGTTTTCTTTCCACACATTGACTGATACCGCCACGTATACTATTTTTGAAGAAATTAATCATATCAATATCTGTCAGCAACTCTAACTCCACCTTGGTGAAGCGCAACATCGCATCCCATGACAAACCTGGAGATGTATAATATTGCGCTGGATCGAGTTTATATGCTTTAAGCGATACATCTCTAAAATTTTCAAATATATCGCATAACATTAGAACATCTGATTTTAAATATAAATCAGAATACGATCCCAAGGTTTGGCAATTAAATACATCCCACACTTTCTGGGCCCTCGCGTAATCCTCGTCGGATATGTGACAATCATTTAACTTATCATAAAACTCATCTTTTGAGGGTAAATTTGGGTGATCTAATTTCAATATATTATCCATGAAATTATATGGAAACACCCCTTTCTGTCTCATCAAATCAAATTTTTCTTTTTCTGCAAAACATTTCCTTGTTTCAACAAAAAATTCTGATGGCAAGTTTTCCGACAGCCCAACCAAGGAATCCGCTAAAAATCTGTAACTATCCAAAAATCTGAGTTTTATGTAATTTTTTCTCAAAATACCGTCTCTATCTACATAGCTATGGGTGTACAATGGTTTTGTGAACGAAATATATTTTTCTTTATTTTGGGCAATAACTTCGGCTCTCTCACCTTCCCCATACAATTCTTTAATAAATAAATGGCTGTCATACCCACTCAAATTATGGAAAAATATTGGGACAAATTGCGGGATTTTATAATTTAAATTACAATTGCTATGCGCGGCGCCGGGTGTTTTCTTACCGGTAAGATGGCAATGATCTCTTACTTTAACTTCGCCTTCTTGAAAGGTCTCATCGCAAATAGAGCATATAGTCGATGTGTTAAAATCATCTATTTCATCTTTAGACAGTCGCTGCATTAGAACAATGTCTTTTAAATGAGTATTATAAATAGTTAATACATCATCCTCTAAGCGTTTTACGAAATCGCTCGCGGCATTATCGCCGGTAAAAGTTACAAATTTCGTCAATGAATCATCAAATGAACATTTAATCAGATATGCAAAAGCATATGGCTCATGTTGGTATGTAGGGATGGTGATTTTTTTTCCGGATCTGGTTCGCAATGATCTATAGGTTTTAGGATCGATTCAAAATCGGCATAAATTACAAATGGGACTCTTAGTTGCTTACCATAATTTTGAAACTTCAGTATATTTTCGGGGACATAATTACCGCGTTTGTCTTTTTTAAGCTCCACTGATGGTGTACTGGTATATATATGATTACAATCGCACAATTGATGACGTAATAGGACGCTTTCAGATGGAAAATAAAGTAAACACCTGTCACAAAAAAATTTTTTATGACCATTTTTAGTTATTTGACTCGAAACTAATCTGGATATACTTTTAATCCAACAATAGTGACTATTACCGGAATCTTCTGTTATTAGCAGTAAATTTATATGATGCCCTAACCTTCTACGGGAATATCGTAATGGGCCTACTATTTCAAATTTAGCCTTACCATTTTCATAACTATGTTCCAAGCCATAAACATTAACACTTATATCATTGAGGTCTTCAAATTTTGAAATGTCTTTAAGCTTCATGGGAAATTCAATGCCATCAACATTCAGCACGGTCTCGAAGTGTGGATACGATGACATTAGGCTAACATGATCTCTGGCTGGATATAGAGCTGATGTGATGGCCCAAGCAAAGCAGTACGCATCATTATTCTGCACATTCACTACACCCTTCTTGGTTTCAATAAACTTAGGCAGCTTTATGTATGAGCAGCCTCCTAACGGAGAGTACTTATTTATATTAACTTCTAGAAATAGTACTTCCTGTAATGACCAACCTGAAACAATGAATAATTTATTAGTTACCGATATATTATATATTATATAACTACTATACCTGAATCTTTATGTTGGAAGTCTACGGTTTGAGATACCAAGGCGTCCTTAAAGTTTGCATATACCACATCCAAATCCGTCGGCAAATCTAGTATTCGATTTATGCTATTAAAAGATTTGATTTCAGAATTATCTTGGCTCTGCAATACATATGTAGCGAAGACCTCTACATTAACTTTAATGGCATTATGGGCCCTCAGAACAACTTTCAACAATTCCAATACCCTCACTTTTATAGCCTCAAAAAATGTTATATAGTCTATATGTTTTTCATCACTTTTGACTCTATAACTTGCGATTCTGCACTTAAATGCACTCTTAATTAAATATATACCATCGACATGAATTGTGCATGCCTTTTCTTTATGACTAAGACTCCTCATATGTGATGTCATCTGATTGGTTGCGATGTCTACATTACATGATTCACATCTACTTTTATGAACTTGAGGGTCTACGGTACGATGTGAAACTCGCATTACACGAGCTTGTTTTACCGGTAAAACATCCGGGCTTGAATTGGCGGTTCTTTTCGTACCGCTGGATGATTCACCATTGCGGTTAGATATCAGATTACAACTTTTATTTTGATGTCGTCGTAAATTATCTGCTCTTGTAAATGTTAAACCGCAATTACACTTATACATATCTACTATTTTTATGATTATTTCGATATTAGATAATGAAACTTCCAACGCACTTATAGCTCGCGACTGATCTCATTCGTATAGATGTGATATTATATACCTCTCAATAAATCCCCACCTCCACTATGCTCCCCTCCCCTATTCATAATATACGGGAACAGCTCCAATTCTTGTTACTTCGGTATAGAGTAACGTAAATTCTAAATACATAGTAATCACTAGGAGGTAATGAGATGTACTTACTATGCTCATTACACTACTCAATTACGTTCATTAAAGTATATAATTTACAGAATAATTGGGAGGCACTTGCTAATTGCGCGAAGGGTGGGATACTACCCCTTCCAACAATATTTACATCGCGCGTGTCTGCCGAAGACCGGTGATTCACTTTAGCTATGGCGGTTGAGAGTCAAGGGTGTGCATGGCGCCGACTTATTTCCCCTATGCTACAACAGTAAACAAGAGAAGTACTTAGACTTATTACACTACGTGATATACACAGTAAATACTGTCTGAGAGGTATGCATATGGTGTAATGAGAGGTACTTACTATGCTCATTACACTATGCAATTACACTCAGTACAGAATAATTGGTTGGTCCTTACATCACTATGTGTACTGAGAGGTACTTACTATACTCATTACACTATGCAATTACACTCATTACACTATGCAATAACATGGTGTACAGAGTAATTCAGAGGTACTTGCTAATTGCGCGAAGGGTGGGGGGTACTTGCTAATTGCTCGAAGGGTGGGGGGTACTTGCTCGAAGGGTGGGGGGTACTTGCTCGAAGGGTGGGGGGTGGGTACTTAGGGTAATTACTAATTACACCAATTGCCTCTGACCTTGCCTCTGACCTTGGTCCAGAACTGGCTAATCCCATCTACTCATGGTTTATCAAAAAAATCCATAACTCAAAAATGGCGACACCTAGCTAGAATTTTTTTAATCGAAAACATTTCTAAACCCTTTGTATTTGATTGCTTCGCTGCATGTACCCAAAATTTTTGACAAATAAAAAAGTTTATCTATTACTGAAGATTTCAGTACATTTTTGTGTAATTTATATTTATCGTTTATTTAAACACATTTATAAATAAAGTTTCTCAATAAAATAAGTACAGCTAAAATAAGTTGTTTTTGTTTTTTAATCCAAAAGAAGAATCAAGTCGATATCTCAATTATTTTTAAAATTATAAGGATGTAAACTCAGGAAACGGAATTTTTAAAAATCCTTAATTTCTCTTGCTTTTTCTCAAAGTAAAGAGTCGGTAAAACAAAAAAATTGTTGTCAAGCCCCATTTAAAATGTAAAAATGTTAACAAAATCTATGCGATCTAATCTGGTTATATACCATTTTAATGCCGATTTTGCTCCACTGAGGATGAACTCATTTCATTACTTCTAATGCGGTGCGGCGCATCCAATACCGAATTTCCTCTTAATCACTACATTTAAAGATACGGGAAATGGTTTTATTGAAGAAACTGGTCCCAAAACACATTTTATAGTATTTAGGCTCCTCCCATCAGGAACGAATTTTATACCTCCAAACCTGTTATCTCTGCTTCGACCATACCGATCAAAGTTTGTCTTCCTGTCAGACAGGTAAATCATCGTCTTAAAACCGCCACTTTTCCATTAATATGGAAAAATGCTAAGGTTGCTCAAAACTTATTCAGTCATATTTGTTCCAAATAATAGAATATCAGCATGATTTTATCACAAATAGATCTACCATTTCTAATCTAGTTAATGATGTTATGCAATATAAATATTACAGAAGCATTGGACGATGCTAGTCAGGTTAATATCATTGAGGTACATAGAGGTACACAGATTTATTCAAGTCATTCTATAGACTTGAACATGGACTATTATTGGTATAGTATCAGGGTTTAAGTCTATTGAAATGTGTGTTAATTATAGGGTACCCCAAGGATCCGTCCCATTGTTTTTAACGTATTTATAAATTAATTTGATTTGAAGTACAGCGTACTTCTGTATACTGATTATCTTAAACTATATTCAAGAGTATATTATTTTAATGACTGTGAAAAAATTCAGAATGACAGAAAGTTTATTCTTCCTCTTAACATTAGCAAAATGTAAGTTTGTTTGTGTTACTCGGAACGGTAACAGTTTGGAAAATGCTATACATTTAAATATTTAGGTATTGAGTTTGATAGTAAAACTAAATGTGTTGTTTCAGAATCATGCCATCCTTATTTCCATCGCATATATTCAAAAGGGGCGCACCCGAGACACCAGGGGAAGTTCAACCAGTAGCAGAAACAGAACCGCCAACGGTACTAGACATTGTCGCAACATCCCCGGCTCCAATCAAAGATGTTACGGACTTACAGGACCTAACCACCCCGATAGAGACAACAGGTGGGGAACCATTTGAAAAACATATTTTTGGTAACAAAAAATTTCATCCATCTCATGGTCGCACAACCCCACATCCGGAAGCAGGTATTGTTGTTTGTTGTATGTTGTCGTTGTTGTTTGAAGTTATGGCACAGCAACACACAACGACTCAACACTGCACTCTCGGTTAAATCACATAAACAATCAGGTGCATGAATTGTTGTTAGATAAATTAATGCATGCTTGATACGCGTGTTAGGATTTTTTAACAAGTGTAACCAATATAGATAAAATGTTAAACATGGCACAGTCTTGAGGATACCGCAATAAATGGACATCCAGCTATCCAAAGTTGTAGGCATATGATAAAAAAAGATCGGAAAAAGGTAAATATCTTTAGAATCGTAAGTGCTACCAATTTTCGTTTGTGTTTTATACATTATTTTGTCTACGGTAGAGTTCATTCTTAAATGACATATAGTTTGTCTACAAATGTCTTATACATAAGTGAAATATTCTCAAAAATAAAGTTTAATATATGTTTTAAAAGTAAAAATTTTCCCTAAAGTTATATTAAAAAGTCAAAATTGTCTCTACATCCTAAAATAGACACAATATATTTTCAGAATTTCAGAATTTTATGGTCGTAAATGACATGAATATTTATGTATCTCAGTTTGATACGTTTATAAAAATGCCTATTTTATGGATTTTTTAAATATATACGACGATATAAAAACTGTACAAAAATTGATAAACATGTATTCTTGATGACCAACAAACAATTGACTTCCGGGAAATTGATGGCCCATTACCGCGATTAGTGGGGATGTGACCATTTGACTATATGTTGAAAGGCCATTATGTAGATGTTAAAAGGCCATTATATCATGAATTGTGGGACATCAATTATTAATATGCGTGTTAGTGCGCGTCACAGGTTGAGGAAGATCATACTGGATGCTAACAAAGGAACCATGCTGTCAACTGTCATTAATGTCCATAAGAACACGGTGGTCATTAACATTATTAAAGTATAGTTTTGAAAATGAAAGCAATTTAATTATTTAACATATTAGAACATACGAATGGTAATATAATAACGTTTATGTGATTCTCTATCGATTTCAAATTTTTTTTTCAGTAAAACATTTGTTTTCGATTTGAAGACCCTACTCAAATCGTGGTTTGGTGGATATAATTTAATTAATTGACACATTCAAAGCATATAAATGGTAATTTGATAATCTTCACATGTTATTCTATCAATGTCATAATCTTTTTCCTGGAAAATAATGTTTTTCCATGATTTGAAAAATCTTAACCCAACTTATTTATATAGTAAATTTTGAAATGAATTTTAAAGTAGAAGCACATGTTCCAGAGGCCAAGTGATTTGGCACAATATGGCTACCATATTTTATTATGCCCATTACAATATTTGCCCAACTGAGAAAGCCCTAAAAAGGCTAACAATGCTTTTTATCCAAGGTAGACTGGTCATCATGGGTTACGATTTATACAGTTCTTTGTTTTGCCATAATCCGTAAAGAGGCTGAATGGGATCCTAATTTAAATAGTTTATATAAATTTTATATTGACAAATTCATATCGGCTGTTTTTTTTTATCCTATTTTTATTACTGAAAAAACACTGTCAAATAGATACTAAATTATTATTACTACACAAATATTTGATAATTTATATTATTATATAATAAAATTACTTTAAATTTATTTGCTTATCTTTTAATATAAAATGTACCCCTTATAACTATAATCTAATGCATACTGCATTAAATTTTATTGCAATTTTATACCCATCTTTCGATTGGTAAAAAAAATAATTTATATGTCAGTACCGTAGAAATAATGTCAGTAGGTACCATGGCATTAAAATTTTGAAATTTTGTCACAGTTTTCGTTGTGTTGGACTGTAGTAGAACCACTTTACAGGCTTATTTCTGGGCATAAATAGAAAACGAAAACGCGTAAAACATACGTTTTAAAACATTTTTAATTTTAGAAAAATTTAAGTTGTAAAAATCGCAGTTACACGAGAATCACCCATATAATTTTCACAAATATGTGTATAAGAAAAATGCAGAGGCATAGTTCTTATCATGTCTTCTGACCTCTCCACTCTTATTTTTAATAGTTTTCAGCTTTGATCATAACAGAATCTAAAAAAAATATTTTTCTTCAAGTGGATCAAAATATGCTATTGATTCCATAGGCACAACAATAAAGTTCACATTCTACTTCCTAGTAACATAATATAATAACTCTGAGAACTTATATCGAGGGCCACAGTGCAGGACCTCGTAACTAACATTTCCACTGAAAATTATATTTTATGATAATCTCGTTTAAAACATTTCGCTCCATCTATTGTATTGGAGAAGTATTACAATTTTTGAACAAAAAATGGGTAACTATTAGTCCTATTATGGAGTAAAATGGATTGTTCCATACGTAAAACATATTTTTCAACTGAAAAATGTCGATTTTGTAGCTCACGAGGTCCAGCCTTGTGGCTATCGATATGACTATGGATGGACCTAGGCATTGATTCATCTTGTGAATATTAAATTTCTTTCACTATCAAAATTAAGAATAAGTTTCTCAAATTGCTGAAATAGAATTTTTCCTGAAAAAAAAGATCATGAAAAAGAGTATGATAGAGTTATAGAGTCATTAACTTACCGTTTATATCCACTTCAAAAACCAGGGGTTTGAGTAGACTGGGTTAAAATTCTTCAACTTGAAGAAAAATAAATATTTTCCTGAAAAAAAAATATATATATGAAATCTATAGAGAAACATATAAATATGTTAATTAATTAAGTTGCTTTCATTTTCTAAATTATGCTTTAATTATTTTAATGACCACTGTGTTATTCTTATGGACATTAATGACAGTTGACATTATGGTTCCTTTGTTGGCATCCAGTCCAGTCATTAACCTATAAGTTATCACTAAACACGCGTATTGATGTTGGTCTTACATTGGAGAACAGTCACTTGCTCTTCTCATACAAATTGTGTAAACATACCAGGTTAAGCGCAATACACGTAATCGAATAAGAATTTTTATTAATAAAACATGAATTTTACAAGTCATGCAATGATAATCGATTTGGTACATAAATCTAAATTTGGTAAATAAAACAAGATATTTCAAGCATACTGTTGTATTGTATATTTAAATTAAGTAAAGATCATCTCCATTATCAGATGTAACAATGTATTAGATACATGGATTCTCGTATATCCCTTCTGATACCACGACTGAGAATTTATTTCTTTAACCACTCACCCTCTTTTTCTACCTTTTACTACAAAAACCCTTGGCCCTTATGGCTCTTAAGTAACGCCTTTGACTTAACAAATACGTTTTTTATAATAAAAATTATTTATCAATGATTCTGTTAACTTTACTTGTATTTGGTCTGTTTGGCCCTTTTTGTAGTTTCCTCCCCTCACTTGCTGGTTGAATTTCTTTCTTTCTAGGTCCGATGATTACTCTATAAGGTCGAAACTAGTAGCACTATAAAAACTTCATTAATAAATTTACTGTTACGTAAGACTGAATAGTTTTTGGTTGTATCTCATATATAGGGTGTTCCTTAATGACACGCTAATATTTAAGGTGGTCATTCTTGGGCCCATTTTAAGGAAACAACTTCATATGGACGTATGTCCTAAACCTCCTAACTTTTGAGATACAAGGCGGTAAAATATTATAATAACTGTGACACTATTGTAGATATCTTTATGAAATTTAGCACACGTCTTCTATAAATCAAGATGCATTTTATTATTTTTAGGACTGGCGTCCGTACGGGTTTTACATAGAATATTTTTGGAGAAAATAATGGTACGCCACTGCCTGTTCTTGAAAAAAAAAAAAAATTATTTTTGTAATCCTAATTCATTTCTAAGCAAATTTTATTTTCTGATTTTCTTTCGCCCGACGCATGGTTTCAAGCTATTGAATTCATTCCATATCAAATGTTAATTAATTCAGAAGTAAGTAACTTATTTTACTTTAGGAAAAAATAAAACAAAATAAAGTGTCAATAATAATTATAGCATTAGAATTTTAGCGGGGATTTCAGAATGTTCACACGAACGGCTTAAATTTATTAACTATTACCTAATTATTAACAATACTAACATTTAATTATTAATTAATAACAATACTAACAATGATTATAAAAATTGTTGGAAGTGGCCACCTTCACTTAATAGGCATGCTTCCGCACCCGCGCACTCTTCTTAAAATTTCTTCATATCACAACACATAAATCTACTTATCCTGAAATAAATTACTTTTTACAAACGTCAATGTCAAAACAATACTACTTGTTGACTTAAAGTAAGTTGTTATTTTATTGATTTTGGATCACTGAAGTTATTTTTCTTTTTCGCTATTTTTCGAATATCAGTAAATAGTCCAAATAGTCCAGGGCATTTAGATCAGATTCGACGGAATAGCGGAAATTTTTAGGGACAGCAGATATCGAGATGCGGTTTTCTGCATTACGTTCAGGAAGGTCCCAGGAAAAAAGTTTTTTGAAAAATGCCTTCTGTGCCGGAAAAAAGTAAAATAAGTTACTTACTTCTGAATTAATTAACATTTGATATGAAATGAACTCAAGCTTGAAAAAAGAAAAAAAGTGATTTCTACGCAAGAGTCACTTTGACCCTGAAGTAAAACAATTTTTATTTTTTTAAGCGAAAACCATGTGTCGAGCGAAAGAAAATCAGAAAATCAAATTTGCTCAGAAATTAATGGGGATTCCAAAAATAATTTATTTCAAAAATAGGCAGTGGCGTACCATTTTTTTCTCCAAAAATATTCAATGCAAAACCCGTACGGACGCCACTGCTAAATATAGTAAAAAAAATTATATCAGAAAATTCATCTTGATTCATAGAAGACGTGTGCTAAATTTCATAAAGATATCTAAAATAGTATCATAGTAATTATAAAAAAACTATTTTTTTCGAAAATTTTACCACCCTATCTCAAAATTTAGGGGGTTTAGGCTTTATTGCCAACTGCTTTTCTTGAAACCAATGAATTTAGTCAATTTATTGAAACAACAAATAAGTTACCTGTGTTTAAACATAGCTACGAATCAATTTTTTCAAAGTCCACCGTCATATTTCCGAACTATAATGAATTACCCTCCTATAATAAAACTTCATTACTTTCTGCAATTAGCAGTTATAAAGTAAATACAATAATTTACACAGATGGAAGTAAAATTCTGAAAGGAGTCGGTAGTGCCTTCTATATAGAAAATAATAAAGAAATGTGTAAATTTCAATTACCAGATATTTGTAGCATTTTTACAGCTGAAGCTGTCGCTATACATAAAGCTTTGGAGTGGTGTACGGAAAACAAGGTACACAGTGCAATAATAATATCTGACTCAAAATCGGTGTTAGAGAGCATAAAAAATATAACAACAAGACATTTTGATAATTTTATTATATGTAAGATAAAAAATTTGCTTAATCAGTTAGAAGTTAAAAAGGTTAAAATTATATTTATATGGACGAAAGGACATAGTGGCATCTATGGAAATAAGCTAGTTGATAAGGCTGCAAAAGAAGCAAGGGTATGCAATAATCTTTTAAAAAATCCTTGTTACAAAGATCTTTACTGTAAATTTAAAGATAGTATTTACAGAGATTGGAATAAATATTGGAGGGAAATAACAAAAAATTTAAATAGTTCATATTTTTCTATCTACAAGGAGTTGCCAAATAAAATATCACATATATTCAATGACAAAGTTATTAAAAAGTACTGCACAATTATAACTAGATTGAAAATTAACCATTAACCACTATGTTCTCTTGATAACGAGGTCGCAGATCTCGATCACATATTTTTCGGCTGTATGAGTTTTTGTAATAATGACCTGTGGGATGGTCTTATGAAAGCAGGTATTCAGTTTCCTACGTGTGTTAAGGTGTTGCTCGCGACTGGAAATCAATCTGTGTACGATTTATTGGTAGATTATGTAAGTAAAAATAATATTAATATCTAATATTTAAACGTAATATCTTTCAATTTGTGTGTGGCTGAAGGACTAATGTCCATTGCCAATAAAGCGAGAAAAAAAAGGAGGTTTAGGACATACGTCCATATAAAGTTTTTTCCTTAAAATGGGCCCAAAAATCACCCCATTAAATACAAAACTAATGGTGAATATTTTTCTAGCGTAGATTTAATTACTCTAGTTATTCATTGAATATTACCACAATGTTCTCTAACTTCGCGATAAAGCATGCCTAAATGCATGTAAATTAGATAAAACGAATGCAATGTCCGTGTAATTCGAACTTACAAGAACTATTTTAGCAGTAATTGCTCAATTAAAAAAACATCGAAAATATCAATGTCAAAATCGGTGTAAATTAATTTAAAACACAATATCACAATTCAAACACATCACCGGCATATTAAAATTTTTCCATTTCACATCACACTAGCACAAAATATTATGGTAGAATTAGTTGATAAGCGGTACCCCTTCTGGCAATATTTTGTATTAGGGGCGCTCTTCTCGTGCGCTGATTATACTCATATTTTACCGTATATTTCAGTGAAACCCAACACCACGGACACCTTTGTTAACAACATTGTGTCGCTAGCTAATAAGGAAGGAATCGACACATGGATGCTAGTATCTATTCTAATTGGTAAGTTGTAATTCATTTTATTACATTTTGTAAAAGATATGTCACATAAGTTTAAGGAAAAATTAAATTATTTATAACAAATACGTCATTTATTTAACCCTTAAATGCATGATTTTTTATTATTGTCAGAAAAAAATACATTCAAGTATATTATGGGATTGATATCAAAGGAAAAATAATAAAAAAAATATTTCAGTTTTTTATTTAAACAATTGAACAAAAAGACGTGTTTCACAAATGATACATTGCGCAACAAAATGTAATATAATCAAGTGTTAATTCTCATGGAAAGTGCGAAAACAATTAGACTTTTGGTTTAAACACAGGCTTAATTTGCACTTACAACATGCTACAAAAGTTAGGTTTTTGCACGTTGGATTTTTGCACCTTCCTCTATTTTCTCTCCATTCGGGCCAATAATCGATCGAATCTTTTCTGACGTCTACTGGTGGTACTACAGTAGCTGGGTTTCTCTTTTTTTTTTAATTCTAGTGCATCTTGTATTCCACTACTTGATGGTCTGCCTCGTTTTATTGACTGTTTTCCAATTGTACACAAGGTTTGGGAAACTTCAATCCTGAAACTTTTTTGGGTTAAGGCTTTTTGTTTTTAATTTCGCATACCCTTTTGTATAGTAGCCACGCATTTACTAAACCTACATCAATTAGGTGATAAAACAATCTAAAATACCATTTTGTTGATTTTAGTCTGATTTTGTGGCGTCCGATATGGCTATCAAACAAATCCACCCTTCCCATATGCTTATAATAAATTGTAATAATTTCTGGGCAGCTAACTTCTTTATATTGTTTATTTTTACGTTCAAATCTTCTAGCAGTCGTTTCCGGTTTCTATCCAGAAAAGGTAGACAATAAATTAACAATTTTGTTGTCTTTCCAGGATATGCAAGCGATATCAACACCGTCAACATTTCCAACAAATTCAACAGATTTTCCTCTCATTTCTTTTTTGAACTCTTGTTCAGTTGGAAGTTTGCAGTTAGGAATCCTGTTTCTTCTCACTGTTCCAAGCGGCAGAATGCCTTGTTTATGCAAGTACGCCATGAGAGACAGAGATGTGAAAAAGTTGTCAAAGCAGATTTTATGACACTTGAATTTAGCAAGAACTCTTGCTAGGCAAACCACTACATTTGAACTTGCTTCCAGGCCTGGTTCATATACTGGTCTTTCATTTAAATTGTTTTCTTGTTTCGTATAGACTTCTAATACATAGGCATAGCCAGAAACACCACATAAAAAAAAATAATTTAAACCTTCACTTCTGTGGCTTGTTTGTCATATATTGCTTAAGATGATGTCTCACTTTGGTGGCACAAATCTGCTCGTCGACTGACAAACTTTCTTCAACAGGAACATATATAAATTTTTCTTGTAAGCTGGTAACTATAGGACGGATCTTATGATGCTTGTCAAATCCTTGCTGCCCAGTAGGAATTTGGGTTTCATTGTTATTATAATGTAAGTTAGAACGCAAATTTTTAAAATTATTTAAGGACATTATTTATTTTACGAAATCGCTTCCAGTTACATCAGCCTAGTAGTCTCTTATATTTGTGCAATAAGAAGCCGAAGTAAAGATGCAAATACCTATATATTTTCGAATAACTTCTTTTTTATATGCTCCAGTTTATTGGGATTGCGCTGAGCAGTGTATAAAGTTGATTCTTCTGCAATTTTTGCAACAAAGCATCATCAAATAAATAATTGAAGAACCTATAAGGAGAATCTAGCTCTACTGTTTCTGGTTTGAGATTTGTGTCGCAAAGAAACTCTTTTTCTGGTTCAGGGAATTCTATGTTACCTTTCCTCCAAATAACTTTTTTTACTAATTTCAACAATTTTTTCTTTTGATGAGGTAGCGCTGCTAGATGGAACCGCTTTGTTAGTACCAATTTTCTTACGAATTTTTTGTAGTGTTTTATTTTCAGAATCTTCTGAAGAGTCTTCTGAGTTTGAGTGTTCATCACGCAGGCTTTCAGTAATGATATTTTCGGACACAGTTGGGTCTAATAAATCGCCTTCATCTCCGAAATCTTCAAATTCTACCTCATCTTCACTTTCTATAGGGATGTTGACTAAATCCAACAATTCTTCATCAGTAAGATGCTTTTTCTTTTCAAATTCCTTCCACCAGCGACTCATTTTCTATAAGAAAAATATATTGCCTAAGTGCATGTTGTATCACATATGATACACATAAAATAATGCAAATTATTTATTCCATACCTAGTAAAATTCAATAAAAATATGATCTACTTACATGCTTGGATGCTACTAAAGATTCAGTTTACCGGTAAATAAGAAATACACGTAATCCGCAGTAAAATAAAAATGATTTTAACAATAGCGGGCACTAACACCTGTTCATTTCCAGAATGCGAATAATACTAAAGCAAAATATTAAAAAAACTTTGACTACTATGTTTTTAGCTTGAACGTATATTGTTAACACGTATGATACGTTTTCTAGTTCTCGAAACTGCTAATAGATTGCGGTAGTACCAATAAATAAGGGGGGTTTCAAATATGATACATTATGCATTCTAGGGTTAAATTACTACTTTGCCAACAGTTTTCCTTATATTTAAATTAACTAAATCTATAACTAAAATAATGGATACAACTTTTGTCTAATAATAATATAATAATACATAATTTTTTTTCTTTTAATATAATCTACGCCTTACCCTTAATTTTAAGACATAAGATATAAGACAGGATATATAATATAGGATATAAGATATAGGATATAGCATATGGGATATAGGATATAGGATATAGGATATAGGATATAGGATATAGGATATAGGATATAGGATATAGGATATAGGATATAGGATATAGGATATAGGATATAGGATATAGGATATAGGATATAGGATATAGGATATAGGATATAGGATATAGGATATAGGATATAGGATATAGGATATAGGATATAGGATATAGGATATAGGATATAGGATATAGGATATAGGATATATGATATAGGATATAGGATATAGGATATAGGATATAGGATATAGGATATAGGATATAGGATATAGGATATAGGATATAGGATATAGGATATAGGATATAGGATATAGGATATAGGATATAGGATATATGATATAGGATATAGGATATAGGATATAGGATATAGGATATAGGATATAGGATATAGGATATAGGACATAGGATATAGGATATAGGATATAGGATATAGGATATAGGATATAGGATATAGGATATAGGATATAGGATATAGGATATAGGATATAGGATATAGGATATAGGATATAGGATATAGGATATAGGATATAGGATATAGGATATAGGATATAGCATATAGGATACAGGATATGAGATATAGGATATAAAATATAGGATATAAAATATAGAATATGGGATATAGGATATATCATATAAGATATATTAAAAGTTTTAATTTGTGTTAATTTGTGTTAATTTTGAAATGTAATTTAATCGTATTAAACAGATTTATTTTTATATCGTAGCTGTCTCTATTGTAATACTCGGAATATGTTTCTGCTGTATAAGAAGATGTTTTCGAAAGAGAAGAGCAAAGGATGGCAAAAAGGGTATGAAAGGTGTAGATTTGAAGTCTGTCCAGCTATTAGGATCGTCTTACAAGGAAAAGGTAAAAAGAGAAGAAATTTTATTGATTAATACATACCGTTCAGTTTATTTTTAAATACAGGGTAGCTTTAAAAATCACTTTGCTTATTCTATACAGATGCGAAAATAAAAAGGCTGATCATACAAACTAAATCAGCGTGAATGAAAGTGAATAGGAAGTCGTATGTCAACAATATTAATTATGGTCAATTAAGGTCATTATACAAATAAACATACGTCTTTACAAATGGAGTATAATAAATTGACAAAGCTGCTGTGAGAATTTGACATACAAATCTGAATGCCACACTCACTCATTGATAAATTAGATCGTTTTTTCTAGTATGGACTGTATTTAGGAGCTAAATCTTTTAATACAAATTGTCTGTTAGAAAATATGGTTGAAATAAAAATTCACCTGTTACAACTGATACTTTCATTTCACATAAAGATAGCTTTCAACAAACACATGGACACGATAACTATGTACATCTTTGAATTCTTGTTAGAAAACCAATCACATAGTTTCTTTATTTGCATTACTTTGTGTTAAAAATGCCGGCATAAAACTTACAAAATGGCTTGGGTTTTTCAAGTCGTGTGAGAAGTTGTTACTTCGGTAATTAGAGCAACGTTCCTGGTTATTTTAATGATAAAACAATATAAACAATATGGACCAATTATTCGTTTATTACGTGTGATTATTGGTATTTAAAGGTAGCTATGTCACGAAAGAGAGGGTGACGTAATCATCTTGTCGATTTCGGAAAAAGCATGAAAAGTCAGAGACAGTTCGAGGCAAAATAAATCATATGGAACACTGATCAAAATGTTGAATTATCTAAATTAAATGCATAATACCGCTATAATATATTAATTAATATTATACGCAAAGAAACAATATGTCAAATCTTTATGACCTAACCTGTTTTAAATGAAAACTGAACGGAATATTAGCGTGTTAACCATGACTAAAAAGTAGTATTTTGTGTTCTTTCAGAAAACATTTATTTTCACTTTTTATTAATTTATTTTTTAATGATATAAATTAAACATTTAAGGTACAGCCGGATATGGATGAATTAACGGAAAACGCAGAAGAACCTGATGAAGGAGAAAAACCTGAAGTTCAAAAATTGGGAAAACTACAATACAAGGTAAACAATTCAGTATTTTGTAAAACATTATAGACACATTAGGTATGGCTTCGAATAAAATATGACATTTTTTTTAAGAGGGTTAGTTTACTATTGACCTTTGATTAAAAGTGTACCAACCTGTATCTAATAGATAAAATATTTTTAAAAAAATAACTGTAGAAATTATGGTAATATATGTAAATGCGGATCACTTTGTATAGTGAGATATCTTTATAAAAAACTTTAATTATTCAAAGTATTGACCTATAAAAAAAGTGAGTAAATTAAAAATGTTTATTTTATTTTTTTATAAACCAATAATAACATTTAAATTTTCAATTATCTAATTAAATGTTAATACCTACTTAATATACCAAGCGTTCTCGCGTAAAGTTTAAATGAGCATTTTCTGGTGCCTTATAGTCAGAAACTTTATATTTTTTTATAGCGATTTATTATACAAGGGAGCATAATATATAGGGCGTTCCTTCATATTATGTGTTGCCGATTCTGACAGGAACAAGGAAAAGCTTCAGTATACGTATTATGCTATTGCGAAGGTTTATCGAGACTGAGATTCTTTACATTTGGAGATGAAAAACCGAATGCTTTCGAATATATGGAGTTTACTACTAAATACCAGTTACTCTAACCAATAATTATATCCACAATAGATTTTATAAGGTCAAGGTAAAGGTTTTTCTTTTCAACGGTTTTCTACATGTAATTTTACCCACTCCTCCGTTTTTCCTGTTTAAATCGGACCAGTAATATCCCTTTTGTTTTGACTATGAAGAAGTCTTCATAGTTTTGACTTTGCCACTGTGCACGATTTTACTATTCAATGTTTATCTATACTCGTTCACGTAAACGATGGCTGCCATCTTGGATCGTTTAGCTGAGTCGCAAACCACTTATCCAAGGTTCAGTTCTCAACACTGACAGGTGACGCCTTCTCGTGGCGACTTTTTGAAGTAGTGCGCCACCCCTTTCTTTGCGTATCTACTTACATGGCCCTAAACAAATATAATCCAATATTGTTTCAAAAAACCTAGACGATTTTTACTATAGAACTAAATACCCACTTGTAATTTTTGACACCATTATTACATTTACTCAAATGCATAATGAAGATTATCAAGACACTTACATATCTATTGCCATCCATGCATCGAATCAAAAAAAGTTTTGTTATGGAAATAGTTTAAAAATATTTCTCGTGAAAAAAATAATATCAATTTTGTTTCAGCTGGAATACGACTTCAATCAAAATAGTTTCTCAGTGACCGTTATCCAAGCTGAGGAGCTACCAGCTCTTGATATGGGCGGAACGTCAGATCCTTACGTAAAAGTTTATCTTCTTCCTGATAAGAAAAAGAAATTCGAAACTAAGGTGCACAGAAAAACGCTGAATCCTGTTTTTAACGAAACGTTCGTTTTCAAGGTAAGAATAATTTTAAATTTTGTTTATATAATAACAAGTCGTCTTTATTCGTCATGTTACAATATAAGTGTAAATCAGAAAGCAGAAACCCATGGTATAAAAAATAAAAGGTAGGATATCAACAGTGTCAAAAATAGGACGGCCACGCGCATGGCGTCACGCGTAGAGTTTGTATAGGCGCGAATTTAAAAATACTAACGAAGTGTGAGGAAAATATATGCTAACTTATAGAAATTTGATGAATATTAAGGATAATATTTTAGAAATTACATGAAATATCTATGGATATTATTATGGGATAGTTAAAAGGAAAGAACTATGAAGGAACATAAATGCAAATACATACATAAAAGAAATATTTTTTTGAACAGTTTTTTCCTTTTTTTTAATAATTTATTCTGTTTATACAAATTCGACTTCTAAAGAATAGTTTTTATAACCAGAATAATAAAATAAAGGGTATCTTTGCAACTCAAAACTGGTAACAATTTCACATCTGGATATGCCGGAAATTTTTACCTGATTAGGATTTGCAACTCATTTACCTTCATTATTTTACCCAATTGAATAAAAATAAGTTAAAAAAAATTTTTTTTCATATAATATAATGCAAAAATTCATATAATGCAAAACATAAAAAAATGTACCAAATACAAATAACTGTTACAAAACAAAAATAAAATGGCGCTGCATTTTTCCTGGACCTAGTCGCTGACAGTTTTTAAATCATTCATGAAGTACAAGTCGAAATTTTTTTTTTGGTGACATTTACAATTTTATTTTTGCTTATATTGAGAAACTTTTAGCGTTCAAAGGGTAGAGTCTCCAGTTTAGAAGTCCCAAGTTGTGAACTAACCAATGTGATTCACACTGGTTCATTCACAACTTCACATTATGTGAAGTTCTGATTTAAGATCTCTCTTATAATTGGAAGGTTGAAAGTGCTTGGAATACATATGAAAACTTATCTGCAGGGTCACAAGCCACTGCAAGGGCTGCTCCATGCCGAATTTTCTTGGAAAGGATGGTAGAATTGCCTATTTAGCATATTTTTTTTAATAAAAGGCTCATGGATTTTAAGAATTTTAATCTAGGGAACGGCATGCTCTGCTGGGCCTCCGCTGGAGCCACCCTTGGGCCACTCCTTACTTCTGACTAAGCTCTTACTGTCAAGAAAAGCGAAAAATAATATCTTTCTTGAATCCTTTCCTTTAATTGTTACTGTTACATCCGTACCGCAATTTTTCAATGTTTTTCATTAAAGCCACTCACAGAGAACAAAGTTTACAACACAATATAATACAAATATCTGTTTAGTATCTTATAAATCACTATAAACGACTCACAAACTACTGCAACATGCGTCTGTCATATGATATTTATTTCTCGCCAGCTCTACTAACTCTACGCATGACGTCAGCGCCGCCATGACACCATGCGCGATATCCCCCCCTGGCAGAAACCGATATATAGTATTTTTAATACAAATCCCGATGCACGTCAGAGATCATTTATGACGTCACGGCCTTGCAGTGTTGCCTAATCGTCAGAATAGTTGAGGAATTTAGAATTTTTTAAAATTGTAAGGTTATGTATTTGTTATGTTACTAGTAGGAACAATTAGTTTTAAATGTATATAACTAACGGAAAATATTGAATTCCTTTATGAATAATAAACATCTGAACAAAAAAGCTTTAAACATATTATGCAAGTCATGGAAAATAAAACTGTAAGGTAGTATATTGCAGATGGATCAAAATTGGTTTAGAATTAGCACAGAAAATATCTAAAACTAATTTAATTTCACCAAGAAAGTTATTTAACAGAACTACATTTAAGTTATAAACTACAACACCCCATAAAATTAAAGATGTCATTGAAAAAATGAAAACTACAAAGGCATGTGGAGGATTCATAATATCAGTAGATACCTATACTTAAAGAATTAAAGTTTGAAAAGGCTAAAATATTTGAATACAAGAAGGAAATTGTTAAAATATTTGAGTAGGTGCTTTAGTAAATCTCACTTTCAGTAACGGTTCTGTAGCTCAAGTATTCAAGATAGCCAGAAATGCTTCAAAAATAAACAGATATCGCTACTTCTTTTCAACTCTAAAGTTATCGAAACATGTATGAACAATAGATTCATCACTCAAACATCATGATTCTCCATTCTATCAGCTTCAAAAGACATTTGAAAAATGTTATTCTCAGTCAAATATTTTTTTGATATCTTGGAATAAATTAAATAAAAATACAGATATATAAGAAATATATCAAACTGTTTATTGTTTTAAAAATTAGACAGTTTTTTTTTTAATTACACTATTTTCTCATAAAAAAACAATTATTCATCTACTAATCTTCATTACTCCTATAAAATTCTTTTATTTCTCCTAATCCAGATCGCAAGTATTTGAATCGCAGTCATCGATATCGCTATTAGGGTTAATTATAATAAAAATAATTTCCAATCTATTAAAAAATCCCTCTCTGCCAATATGTTTATTATTATATTGCTTAGAAAGGTCACAAATAAGTTCAATGGAGTTAAAAATAAAATGGCAGGGAAGATTACGTAATACTTTGTCTATATTGTTCTGCTTAGGTAATTATCTACCATATATTTCTTTGGCGGTTTGCATCTGAAAAAAGAATGTTTTATTTAGTTCTATTTAGTTGCCATTTCGTATAACGTGTGTCATTATCACTATATTCTAAACTGTAATATCGAAACAACACATTATATCAATGATTTAATGTTAGGTACACCGTTATATCAAATCTTGTAACTTCATTTTTAATTTTTTGATATTGTTTTAAAGTTTATTTCTGAAAAAAAAGGCATTTTTGGGTGTCACTGTACATCTTGAAAATGTGTAAAACATGTAGATGTTTATTGACCACTGTAATCAAATTTTTCCAATTAAATTGTCTTTATATGATTGCTAGAATAGCGTATCTACCATTAAATCTTCAATATGATGTGTCATTTCAATATTAATATTTTTTTTTTACTTGATTTACACAATTACTGATACCTTAATTTGCTTCAAATTTGGTTTTATCTCTTGCCATCGATTTTTGTAGGTCTAACACCCTTTGTCATTATTTTCCCAGGAGCTGTTTAATGTTTCATTTTGAACGATACATGTTTCATCAATGACAATGAACTGCTTCTGTTGTAATTCTATAATTTCTTAAAAACTGACCTATTTACAGTTCACGTCTTGGTTATCTTTTTTCCTTCATTCTTTTAATACAGTTGACAATGATGCAATATAGCCATTAAACATTTGTCTCTCAATCAACTTTTCTCTTAAAGGTTCCAAAGTTATATGTTGACCTGCAAATAAGTATGTATATTACTGTATACAAATTAAAACTTTTATAGGTAATATAAATAAATTATGATTGAATAAATAGATTTGTCTTTATACTTACTTGTTTCATACGTATTATAAATACCACTTCGGATTCCACTTGTATCCAGTGTTATTGTATTAGTAGGTAATCCTTTGTTTATGAATGCTTTTAATTAGCGATTTTAATCATTCATTATTCTTGACTGCTTGCCAAATACTACTGACAGTAGAAATATTTTTATTTAGAGATGCTGCAACACACTAAAAAAGACAAGAAAATAATTTCATATTTCTATTAAATTTTATAACTTGTAACTTACCTCTCTTACAGCAGTTAAAAGTAAACGTGGTCCATCATTATCACGCTCTCATTCAAAATAATGGATTAAAGAAGCTATCAACTCCTTACAAGGACTATTTAGTTTTTTAGGCATTTTGTATATAAAAATTAAACGACAAATAATCAGCTTATACACTCTATGGTTGTTTTGAAAAACAGTTTTTTATAATTATAACTGGCAACGCTTAAAAATACAGGCAAAAGGATTTTAAATTACAGAAAACAAAATGCACAATCAATAATTAACTCAACATAAACATAACCTAACTTAATCAGTGAAATTTTTTAAAAAGGGGTTGCAACACCGCAACAAGGTGTACCAATTGCTGTAATGACATTTCTTCTCTATAAATACGAGCTTCATGGGCGTACAGAATGTCAAAATTATTTAATGTAAAGTATTTTTTGAGTACTAAACATTTAATAATGTTTTTATAAATTTTATATTATCAAGAATTAGACATGTATAAACTAAATAATTTAAATAATTCTTAAAATTATCAAAATAATCACCATAACAGTTTTCGACTTTTTAGTAATATGACTACGTTCATGAATGCTCGTGACTATACGTGACTTTTTCTGATTATTAGCTTAGTTAGGGACATTTTAATTAGTTGGTAGTACTATGACGAATGACCGACGTCATTGCTGACGTGCATCGGGATTTGTATTAAAAATACTATAAGTATGTTAATAGATTTAATTCAAAATTCCTTACCGTTAATTTTAGTAAAACTTGTTTAATTCCCTTTAGTTGCTAAATAAGTTCATTGTCCTCATTTGACACCTCACAAATAAAAATAAAAATAATAAAAACAGATTTATTCAAAAGAAAACATCAAATATTTTCGATTAATTGTGGACAGACACCATATAGCTCTTTGCAAAATGTTTGGTTGATCACTAGCATATTTGCCAGCGTTGAAGAAATCCGCTACAATAACTGAAAAATTCCGTTACGTTTCCTTATGCGCTACAGTCTCTGGTCATATGGTATATGACATACGTCATATGTCACATTCCGCTTGTCTTATGTTTCACAGAACTAAAGTTTTTCAACTTTTTTTGTGACAAGTAAATTCAAGATGTGATTCAAATCATTAGTAATCTGCATTTAATCTTTTATTATTATATTAAAAAAAGGCGCAAGATGTAGGCAACACGTAATAAGGGTTCAAAATGGCGGAGTTTTCTATCTCCTTTTAAAAGGCATTCAGAAAGCTGCGCAGTGCGACCATTCTCCGTACAGTAAAAGAAAATCAAAGTATGTGGCCCAGAATAATTACTATCTGGGGTGATAGCACTGATCTGTATTATTTTACTGGATAGGATATAGGCTATTCGCTCCGTGCGAAGTCATGGAAAGGGAAGCAAAAGCGATACTAGCGCTAGCTGCGGATAATTCGTGAATTTTAGGGGGATATTTTGTAATTTTGGCATATCAAATACACGTATACATTTTACTTTTTTTCAAAAAAGTAGGTAAAAAAAACACAATAAGCAACCGGAGTTGCTGTGTTGAAAATTGTACAAATACTAGCAAAAAAAAACAGTGAAACTTATATAACAAATTTCACTAACAAAGTGGAAATTAAATCAAAGAAATAAATGGATAGGTGTACAATAAGAAGAAAAATTACCTTTATTTTTGTGATAATAACAGTAATGCTGGAAATAGTAGACATCAGAAACTAGAAAGTTTTTAAATAAACAATAAATTAACATTTTACGATGTTCTTTAATATCCCTTTATTCTTAAATGTTCATTCAGCAAGGACTAGATTTCAAGATTTCTGCCGTTGATTATAATATTTGGCTGGTATGCAATTTTGTGACTTACTGATCGGAAACCAGTTTTAATCATTCATTCTATGTTTTCTTTAGAACAAAAATGAAAATATAAGTAGCGATCCTTTTTATACATTTTAACTTCACGCTATTATAAATGGTTTCTTCAATGACAACTTATTAGACTTAGGCAACTTCTCATACATTTTCCAGTAAATACTGTTGCCTGCCTATATTTTATTATTGATTTTTAATGATTATACATAATTTTCTTCAATTTAAGCGTGAAAAATATACAATAATAATAAATTAATGTTTTAATTGTTTTATAAATCCATATACTTTTATTAAAACTAACATATATACTTTTTATTTACGAATTCTATTAAAAATTGTATTTGTCAGTATAGGCAGAAATACTCCTTTAATACCAAAACAAATTGGCGCTGCTGTCGCGCACGGAATTTAACATACTAAAAAACCGTTCCACCAAGGAGACCGGAAGTGCAACAATGCTGGCTGATTTGGGCAAATTATGGTGGGTTCACAGAACTGAAATTTGGGATAATTTGACATACAGGAATGAACGTTTATTATTTATTTCATACTCTTTTTACTTTGTTTTCCACAATAAAAACATCTCATCGTAGCTTGTTGACACAATTAAATGACAAATGTGATGACAAATGGAAATAGAGGTTACGTTAAATAACATCCGGTCCGCCATATTATTTGCCCAAATCGGCCAATTTTTCGGAACGTTTCTTATATCCTATCCAGTAAAATAATACAGATCAGTGGGTGATAGTGACAAGTAAAGCAAGGTTTAATAACAAGGAGGTTAGATCACTTTGAAATTCAATTTCATCTATTAGATTTACTAAGAGGTTGATAGATAGGCAACTTCTTTTGCATATAAACAGAAATTCTTTGAACGTTTTTTTTTTCTTTAAGTAAATAGAAGTGGTGTATTTATCAGCTAGTTGTCTTTGATATTTTTTTTCTGCGTTTTCTTTTATGATATTTAGTTTAAAATGATACTGGATAGCTTATAGTTTTAATTTTAATAGGATTGAGGAATTTCGCATCATTAATCACAATATGATATACAGGGTATGATAAATAAGTTTCGGGTAAATTTCTTGAGAAACTTTATCAATAAAGAACAGAACCTTTTAATACCCGATATGTGGTTTTTTGTATGTTAATTTAAAATATAGGTTGTTTGTCTGTTGTACCCACTGAACTCTCCTTGGGAATTTAGTTTAGTTGTTTATGTCTTATGCTCTAATAATTGGTTTGTAAATAATTTTGTTTTCTAAGAGAAAACATTTCTTTTCTTTAAAATTTAGGGGAAAGTGGCGCTCACGGGAAATTTGTAAATTCAATTTAATTTTGAATTATTAAAAATAAAATAATTTGTATCGAAACTTATATTTGAGTTTTAATTGGAGCTAGTCTGGGTAAAAGAAAGGAAATATTTAAAAATAATAAAAATAAGAAATAATATCGATATAACAAACTATCGCAATTATGTATCAACGTTATTCTGACGTATTGCTGAGGTAGTACTAATTTCCTTGATAACTTCCCCCTTACTTTTCATCTAGTGAGAAATTATTTGCAAGTGCAAGTAACGATTAAAGCCAGTTGCTTGGGGCGTATTATTACCTGTGTCTAGGTGATCTTTATTCAATGAAATTTTTCATCTCCATCTGTAGCTACCCGAGTACTTTCGACGCTGTTTCAAAAGTTTGTGAAGTGAACCACAATAAATAATCGGTTACCATTCGTGAGGAACCGTTTTCTCTGTGACGAGAAAACCCCTTACAAATTCATGCAGAACATAACATTGTATAATAAATTGCGTCATGCTCTTTGATAACGTCGTTCACAACAATCTGTAAAGTAAATAAATTGCAATAACAACAAAAAAAAAACAATAAGACTCTTCATTTATATGGCTCTAGTGAACATTTTTTACTTTGTCCTCCACTTTAGATTTACAAGAATGTTTTCAACATAATTTAAAATAGAAACAAAAACCGAAAAAATAAAATTGAACGTCTTAGGACTTCTCATTGTTTTTCATTCAAAATCAAATCGTTTTTCGTTTATTTTCTACTACGAGTTTGCCTGTGCCTGCTACTAGTCTCGATAAGTTTGTTCTGAATCTGCTGTACGGAGATCAATACAAATAAAAAACAAGTTCAACAAATATTCTTTATATAAAAATCAACAATATAAAATTATAAAATTTCTTAATACAAAAAAATTAAAAACAACATAACGATCTAGGTCTAGGTATTTCACTTTTACTACGTTTTAACGATTTATCCCTCAATAATTGTTGTATTTCTTCAAGACTTTTTCCTTTAGTTTCCGGTACAAAAAACATAATAAACACTGTAACCAATATAGTTAAGCAACTGAATAAATAAAAATGTATGTGAATACCGTAATCTCTTCTCAATATAAAATAAATTTGAAATACAGCGATAGATGTCGCTGTATGGAATCCGTTACAAAATGCTATTCCCATACCTTTAATTCTTGTAGCGTATATTTCACCCATTATGATATAAGGAACTGTACCCATACCAAGTTTAAATACAATTGCATAGGCCATCACAGAAACAGCTGGAATCCAACTATATGCCATCAAATCATAACCTTGATGTTTAAAGTTAAGATATATACCTAAAGATAAAAGACATATCGAAGTTAATCCACTAGAAATTGCAAATAATACTTTACGCCCGAACCTATCAATTGTAACTGATGATAAAATTGACGAAAATAATAATAAAACAGCAAAAATAATAGCCAGTACTGACGGAGTTACGAAGGTTAAATGGGCATCGTGCAACATTTGATGCATATTCATTAAAACCACTTCAAAACAACTACACAATTTAGTAAAATCGAAAATTAGAACTATGAATAATGCGTTTCTATAACGCGGCACCAAAAATAGTTCTTTAAACGCTCCTCTACTGTCACGAATATCGTTGTCTATAGCTTCTGTTATTTCATTCAATTCTTTTTCTACGTCTTGTTTGTTTCTTAATACTTGTAGCGTTTTTTTGGCTTCTGTTAATTTGTTCTTTAAGCACAATAAATAAGGCGTCTCTGGCATGAAAGAGAAAAGCAATAGTTTGATTAAAAGCAGACCAGCTGCTACAATCGGTGGAATGATGAATGGTGTATATGGTCCAATGCAGTACATTATCAGAATTCCTAAAACAAAAATAATACGTGTTTTACCTGGCAATGCACACAAAAAAACAGTGCCAAAAAAATTAATTACTTAAAAATAAAGTTCGATTGGCGTAGTTAATTTTTTGGCTATTACAAAAAATAATGTAATTATCTTCCTGTAACGTTTTAGTTAACCTTAAGTATAAGTATTTTGTTGTACTTGAAATAATGTTTAAAATACCAATTCATCAAACATGTGTTTGGTTTGTCCAATTCCATTGCATTTTGCGTTCCAACAAGTACAAGTCGCTGATTAAACAACGGACGAAAAACGGACTGACATTCGCAGTGATTAGTTTACGAATGCGTTCATGTACGAGTCAGAGACACATCAGAGTGGAGCTATTAATAAACATAACCATACATAAAATAATCTTAGGCTGCGTTAAGTTAGCGGTCAACTTGACTGGTATGGTCAGACCGCTCGCTAGGCGATGTATTTGAAACTGTCTAGTCCTAATTTGTAAAATTCATGATTAGCTAGCCGAAAATTTCAAGACCAGGCAGTCCCTCCTGTCTCCTGTATTTTGTGAGTCCCTCGTCTCTGGACACATCGACAGTTCTAAAGAATGCGGTAAACTCAATTAAAAGGCATTTAGAAAAAAATAATATAAACAGCAGAAAGATAAATAAACTTATTATGGCTACTTGTCAGTTGGCTTTTCAAACTGATGATGAAATTTCAACAACATTAGTTTATCCATAATTATTAATTTCTTGTATATTTAAATGAAATAAAAACATGAATTGACAAGTGCCCATTCACTAGACAGTTTTGACTAACCAAGTCAAACTCAATTTCTCGACTACTACTTACTTACTCTAAGTTCTCGACCCTGCTGACTGACTCTGACCGATCAGCTGATTAGTCATGACTGGTCATGTTGGTCGATTTTCTCCACTGATCTGTGCAGATCAGTGATTTTCTCTTTCGCTAGACCTTTTCGACCGGTCCGACCGCTCACTTAACGCACCCTTATGTTTTTATTTGCGGTGAAATAATGTAGATTAAAACATCTGCAGTACAATTTGATTTTGACAATGACGGAACTATTTCTTGTCTTGAAAAAATCAAGACTCTTGTGGTGCGTTTGATTTGATCATCGGAGATCTCCGAGCGCTGCAAACGTGTTTGAATTGACACTCCGAGAGATCCCTAAAGTGTTTGTTTTGCTTTGGAGCGAGAACATAGAGCGAGCTCGATGTTCTCAGAGCATATGGATCGAGAAGAGGGAGAAATTTGTCTTTGTCTCTACCTATCTCTTTTTAACTAACTTACAAACAAATTTGAATCTCAAAATTAAAGACCAGACAAGAAGACAACAAAATACTTAGCCGCTTTTGTCTTATAGCTAAAATTATTCGTAATAAAAAACACAAAATGTGTGTTTGGAAAATACATTTTCTCTGTCCAGATCTAATCACCAGTAATCACAGGCATGGAGTATGAGAGTGAAGCGGGCATTTGTGGTATATGCTGCATTTCAGGGCCATTACCCCTTATTATTAAAAGTTTTTCCATTTTCTTTACTTTTTGCCCACTATTTTGATACACAAACCAGAAACAAGAATCACAAAAAGCGAGGTTATGTTTTTTACTCTGTTTTATTTGATTTGATTTAATGCTCTATTGTGACGTCATCACTTCTCGGTCTCCTCGACGCTCACTCGATCGAGTTTCAAATCAAACGCCCCTTTGATATCAAGACAAGAAGTTCCATTTCTTGTCCGTTTCCATCACTAGACGGTAACGCGAGTGCATCGGCCCTTATTAAGCCCTCTCCCTAGTCACGTCCCGAGGTGGTGCAGGATAATTTACTCAATGTACTCTGCTTCTTTCCATTTGAACGTGATAGAGTTTACGCGGGTCGACAGAGTACGATAGAGTCACTCCGCGTATGCAGAGCGAGCTGCCCGAACTCAGCAACAGACTACTGTGTGAGAAGTTAACGAGTATTAACGGTAATGTCACGTTGACTTTGTATTGTCGACAAGTATAAAAATTAATAATTACAAACAGGTAATTAATGTCTCATAGATGTGAGCTCCACCATGAAAATGAACGAGCAGATTTATTTTTACAAGCTTATGCCGCATCAAAATTAAAATCGAGATTGTTGTCATGGCTGGTAATATCAGAAAAGAATCGATACTGCGCATTGCATTTTAAAAGCGAAGAATATATTAGAAAAGAAAAAATACGCCATTTACAATCTGGATACATTTATATTATTCACCCTTTAAGCAAGTTTCAGCAATGGTACGAATTTTGGCTGTTTCTCTATTATCTATTGACCATATCAGTAAAATTGTTTGACTGTGGAGTACGAGATGCCGATGTAATGTGCACAGATACAGACAAAACGATCTTTGACAATGCTAGTGGCTCTTTTATAGCTTATGTCGTATTTTCTACTGTTATGGATGTTCTGAGTTGGATTGACATTATTTTGAGTTTTTTAACAGGCTACATTAATGAAATTACAGGAATAATTGAACTAAATCCCAAAGCAATTGCAAAGAATTACATGACAGGGCCATTCTTTATTATCACTGTCTTAACTTCTGTTCCGAGATTTTTATTTTATGTATTTTATGACCAACCACCATTGAAATTGATAGGTGTTCAAGTTGCATTTTCTCTATTAAAAGGAATACGCATAATATCAGTAATGTCGTTAAGTAAAAGAATTTTACCAACCCATTCAAATACCGGAATGTTAATTATCCGTTGGTTCATTTTATTTGCATTTGTGTTACACATGTGTTCTATGTTAGATTTGACAATATCGAGGGTTATCAGATTTTACTTTGAATTAGGTAAATGTAAGGATATATTACTGTACGAACATATGACACTATACCAGTTATACCCAAGATATATGTTTAGAACGTCAGCATATCTCTTAGCTATTGTACTTCCTGGTAACTTAATAACTTCAATTACTTATCCAGAAAGTTATATATTTGCAATATTGAGCTATCTCACTGGTAAAATATTCGTAGCTGCTACTTGGGTAATTACGATTTCACTATTTTTAACCCACAATTCTCTCAGAATAAAATTCCAATACTTAATGATTCAAATAGAGGAATATATGATTCAAAAAAAGCTTCCGATACCTTTGAGAAAAAGAATCATAGAGTATTACTATTTCAAATATCACGGAAAATATTTCAAGGAAAATGCTTTGAATTTTCTACTTTCAAATCCTCTAAAAAAAGAAATCAATTTGCATATGTGTAGGATATTAATAGCAAAAGTTACAATTTTGAGAAATCTTAAAACAGAGAAAGTCAGTGAATTAGTTCAGTATTTAATTCCAGAAATATACCTCCCTCAGGATATTATTATACAATCAGGCAGTTTGCAAGACTCGCTATACTTTATATCTAGCGGTACCGTCGCTGTTTATACTCACTCTGGCAAAGAAGTCTGCCATCTTCAAGACGGAAGTTATTTCGGTGAAATTGATTTGATACTCAAAAAGGGACAAAAATGTATTATTACTGTGATCGCTGTTGAAATATGTCAAATTTATAGATTAAAAAAGGATGACTTTGAAAAGACTTTACGTTATCATAAGAATATCATGCGCGAAATCATAGCTTATGCCGAAGACCAGCTGAAATATATTACAATGGTAGAAAGGAAATATAAAGAGAAGCTGTTTGAAGAGACTTATACTGCTTCATAATTATTATTATCATTATAGTTCAATTATGTTTTTATGTAGATACCTATTAGTTTATTTAACAAAAAAGCTACATAATTTTCTTGTACTTATTTAATTTTAGATATTTTGTTATTTTTACAATGCACTATATCAACTCCCTTAATAATGAATATTGTTGCGATAAATCACCCTAGAGGTTAAGGATGCGATTATTATAATGGCGGTAAAATAATGCAAAAATATAACTCACTGCGAAGACAGTTATTGAAAAAAGTTAAAAGATTTCCTGAATTTTTAAAGAAGATCTAATTAGAGCAAACTTTGAGCTTTACTATGAACAATTTTTATCATAATACAATGCTAAATAAGTGGCAAAATTGTCTTGAATAGTTTTTGATCGCATTTAAATTCATTTCATTTTGTAACTAAACTACGTTATCTAATAGCTTTATACAGGGTGTTCCGAAATTAGATGGTCATATTTTAAGAGAGTCTAAATCTATGAAGACCTTTTTATAAATTTCGCCAAATTGACTAAGTCAGTAAAATGAAGTGTTTGTTTTCAAAATTAGTCAAAAGAATCAAAATAATAGGAAAAAGAATCTGAATTAAGGTAACATGAGTGATAAAAAACATCAAAGCAAGATTTACTTCGTTCCAGATTGTAAAACGGGATGTAAAACTAAAGAAAACAAGGAGAAATCAATTCAATGTCTTTTTAAAGCTTCTAATGTAAGTAAAAAATTGTATTTATTTCTAAATAATGTTTATTGTAAACTAGTCATAGGTTTATTTTATTACAAGTTTCTATAATATAAAATTTTACAGTCATTTTAATTTAATTAATTTAATTTCACTTGCAGAAAAGCAACTTTGTTTTTTATAGAATTTTAATGTTTTTTTGTTGAACCCCAAGAGACCCATATTTTAACATCCTAAAATAGGAGTAAAAGTTCATATAAATATAGGTCCGAAAACGTTTGTTTTCCGAGATACAGGGTTTTAAAAGTGAAATCCTGATAACACACTTTTGTAAATATTTTCTAAACGTTTAAAGATAACTAAGTAAAATTTTGTACAAATACTTTTTGCGCTCTATTTAATGGACTAAACCCCAGTTTTTGATCATCTTCATAGGTTGGTAAATTAGGGGGGCTTGAAGTAAAATTGCCCTAAGTTTTTTTTTGTTGACAGTTTTTAACATTTTTGACTATAACATTTGGAAAACCAATGTTTTAATTATAATAAAGCTACTTTTGTTTCATCTTGCTAGGACGCTCCATTTTCAAGAGAAAAGCATTTGAAAATTTCATGATAAGTTGATGTTATCTTATTCGAAAGTGTAAACAATAATTAGCAGGCCTGTGGAATCAAAAATTTTATTTTTTTTTAACTTTGGAAAACCGGTGACTAAAGAAATTTTAGAAAATATTTACAAAAATGTGCTATCAGGACTTCACTTGTAACACCCTGTATCTCGAAAATAAAACGTTTTCGGATCTATGTTTATATGAACTTTTGCTTCTATTTTAGGATGTAGATTACGCTGTTAAAATATCACCGTCTAATTTCGGGACACCCTGTATATAGTTCCTAGGGCCGATAAAGCCTTTTCTAGAGATGGTGCTGTTATACACTTTTTAGACGATATTTCCAAATATTGTGAGACTTAACTGCGTATCTCAAATAAGCAAAGTTCTAAGAAAATCCGCCGAAGGTCCTTAATAAATGTACCCTTTTGATCATTAAAGATATAGACGAAGACTATCGTTGTTTCAGTTTATTAGTCTGAGTTTTTGGTGGAAGCATTTCAGAAGATAATACCACAATTATTTGGCGTAGGATCTCTAGAGGTACAGTTTAAAGAATAGAATCTAGACATTTGGAAAAAAAGTCCTCAGCTTATATTTTTATAAAAACCATGTACTTTTAAAGGACATATGCTGTAAAAAACATGTGCCGTAAAAAAGGTCATTTTAGGCTTTAAAAAGTCACAAGGACAATTTGTTTGAAAAAAGGACTGTTCTTTTTAAAAAAAGGACAGTTGGTAACCCTAATTATTATAGGTGTATGTGGTAATATTTTTCTTCTCGTTGTTTTCACTTTTTATTTCGTTTACTACACAAAAGTATGACCATTGTATAAGTAGTCCTAGTAGGTCAGTCCAATCTATTTATTTGTTTGATACCAAAAGGAAACCACCACCAGGTGGCCAGTTTAATTGAGTCTCTTTAAGCTAGAGACGGCTGGAGCTTTTGTTAGTTTAAAATAGATAGCAGAATAAACTTAATGAAAGTTGCCATTTTTATTCTACTCTTTATCGTTTTCATTGGACTTAAAAATATGTCAATTAAAGAAAACTGATTTCCATAATATTATGTTATTGCTCCGCTGACTGCTGACAATAGCATAAAATTTGTATAAATAGGCATTTTGATTTAATCCTAGAACACACAATTTTAAAGATAATACCATAATTTTGTTAATGTGCAAAGAGAATAAGTGACACTATCCCCGGGTAGCATACTTTTTTGAATAAATGGCCCGTTTCGTCAAAAAAAATATATAAATTTTATTACATTTTTTTTTAAAAAAGGGCAACTTTTAATAGAAAATTAACATTATCAAACATGCGTTATTCTTTAAACGATTAGGTACTATTATGTTGTAGTAAATCATTTCCTTAACAAGTTCAAAAAATAATTTTTAAAATTGGACGTAATATAAAGTCATAATTATTAAATCAGCAAAGTAAATTCTGGTATAAAAATGATTGAAAAATATTACTACAATATCCTTTCTCAAAAAGTTCGGTGTTCGTACCAAGGGATAGGCAATATTGTCTTCCTCGTCTACCTAGCATTGAAAATTGGACAGATTCGGAATAGGGGGTACATATAGGATAGATCTGAAATTTAGTATTGCTTGATGGTGCAAAGTGAGAATATTTATTATATGAGATAATTTTGTTTTTAATATAGAATTTGAAATATTTCAGTATATATAAAAAAGTGTTTAATTAGAAAAAGTTAGGTTAATGCATTATATTTATATAATGGGTATATATTTTCTAAAATAATTCATTGTCCCAAGAATATTACCTAAGATACTAAAATAAAATCTATAAATCAGTCTTTTAAATAATATATTTAACACATGTTTCACAATATATTAATTTACATGTTTTCTGAATTATCTGTGAAAGAAACGTGGAGAAAATAATAAGTTTTCCTTACAAATTTTTCTTTATTTTGTTGCTGTCTGCTGTTGTAATGCAGAAAGATGTCTTCTTTTTTACTTGAAATAAAGAAAGAAGATGACTTAATTTTTTATTCTATACAAATATATAAAATATATTAATTTACATTATTTAACGTATAATAATATTTTGCAATTTTTATAATAGGTACTTACGAATGCTTTTATTCGTAACTTACGCTATAAGTTCAAGAGAAAGCAATTCAAAATTATTTCGGTCTGTACTGGTTGAAACTCAAAAAGATCATAAATTAACTGAGTAAACAGAACCGTTGTGTTTTATTACTCGCCGCCGTTGATTGATCCGCATTTTATGATGCTGCCGTTGAATGATGTAATCATATTTTTGTTGTTATTAACTTTGAGATATATTACATGATATGAGTTCGCACATGACGTATTGTAGTGTGGAATATGGATGATTGGCCATGAGCTGATTAAAATTTATTTTCGTGCGCTGTTTTCGATCACCACAATATGTCGCCATAATGTAGTATCAATCGGCGTAATATAATGTTTTTTTTATAGTATCATAGATATATGTTACAAGTTTTCTCTTTTTCACTTCAACGATCTTATCAATAGACTGGGATGAGGTATGCGAATTCTTCTCAGTTAAAAGCTTAAATTCTTGCAAGGTAATGAGTTTCTGCTTTTGAAATAACTGAATAATATAATAGAACAAACAAACGAAGTTGCGTGATATTTTATGGACCCTGACATCGGATATTTAAAAATATTTGAATTAAATCAGAGACAATGACAAACGAGGACAAAAAATGTATTCTGTTGTTCGATGAAATGGCAATTAAGAAAACCATCGAATAAAATAAAAAATTCGATGTCATTGAAGGGTTTGAAGACTTCGAGAACAACAAAAGAAAGCCAATTTTTGCCTGACAAGATTTAGTGTATTTTTCCAATGAAAAATTACAGTAGCTTTTTTTCTAACCCAAAACGGTGTCGATGCTTAATCCCTTGAAACTATTATTAATAAAAGTTTAACACATATTTGAGACTCAGGTTTGGAACCTATAGGGATAGGGTGTGATTTATCTACAGTTAACCAAAAAGTCTATACATTTTTGGGCATTACTGTAGACAACCCTAAATTGGCCATAGTAAAAAACAATTACTATGCATTTTTTATGTGCCTGACCTAGTAAAATGCGTTAGAAATAAGTTTTTACAAGATTATTTTACCTTCAATGGCAAATTTATCAGATTTGCTAATGTAAAATAGGTTTATGAACTGGACCAACGTAGCAAATCTGGAAGAGCTTCATTAAAAATCATTTTTTAAAAAACATTTTGCCAAATGCATTTGAAAAAATGAGCGTAAAGCTCGCTACTCAGTTATTTAACAATTATGTAGCTACAACCATTAAAACGACAACAAGAACTGAAGAATTAGTTTCCATAACGGCTGAAAATACAGCTTATTTTATTGAAACAATGAACAACCTATTTGATGGCTTAAATAGTTCTTCTGCATATAGTTCGAAACCTTGTAACCTATCGTATTATATTAAGAATAAAGAGGTGATTTTAATGCTGTTACACAAGTATACCTACGAACTTTTAAAGAATGTAGCTGAACAAACTGCCGAAGGTAAATTAACGAGACCGGATTTATTTGATGGTTTTCTTTTTACCATAAATGCCGTTTAAGAGTTTTATTGCTATATTATTACGCAAACTCAACTTAAATATGTATTAACAGTAAGACTAATTTAGGATCTATTAGAAAATCTCTATAGGCAAAAAGGGAGTTATAATCGAAATCCTACTGTTAGGGATTTCAAAGCAGCTTTTAAGCTAAATATCATTCATAATTTAAACTTAAAGCAAATTTTGGAACGAATCAGGACGAAGACCAAAATCTCCTGGGGTCTGGTAATGCTTTAAACGTTTTTAATAGAGCCTCATAATGATGAAGGTACAGATAATGAAGAAAACAATAAGAGTTCTGAAATCAATATTTCATTAGAGAAGACGCTTCCTGTAACATTAGAAGAATGTTCCACTATGTACTTTTGCCGGATACTTAATAAAAAAATGCGTAAAAAAATTTAAATGCTAGGAGTGTTAAAATTATTTCGAAGAAAAAAGAAAATGTTTTGAATGATGAACACCACTCAATTTTTATAAAACTTATAATCTAAACGAGCAATCCGAGCTAAAATGTCCATCATCACTATTGGGCCAATTTGCTAGAATATTTCTACTAACCGACACGCAAAAGAAAAAAGAATATTTTACCAAACATTTTTTTATAATTTGCGAAAAATTATAATTGAAAAAATAAGAACATTTTTAGCAGAATGGTGTAATTGTATTAGTAACTGTGTGGAGTACAGACAGTATATGTTAGATTTATTAATTACAACTCAAATTTTCAAATATTGTAAGAACCGGCCCAAATTAGAAGCGGCAAAGAAAACGAGGAAACTTCAAGCCAGAAAAAAAAAATGTAGATTTGTCTATAGTGAAAAATACATAAAAATAAATTAATTCCTCATTTTCCTTATATTTTTAATGTACCTACTTATTATACCTAACAAAATGTTTAATAATAATACATTTATTATTTAATAATAAATCACCTCTGCACGTGTAGTTACTTCCTCCAAGAAAGCTAATAATTATTGTGAGAGGCTGGCACTTAGGTTATTTAAAAATCTTGTCTTTTATTAATTATTAATATTATTTTATATTACCAATTTTTTTATCCAAACTCCCTACCTACATTCTATTAAAAACTATAAGTATAATAATTTCATAAATTATGGTCCTGGATGGATAACAAACATCAATACGATTTTATTATTTCCATTGTATTTATACGAAGATGAATGACAAAATTAGCGATTAACCTACATAAAGACTAAAATGTTAAATACCTACCGATGGCTTAAATTCACGCTATACATGAAATATGCGTAATATGGTAGACCACCAACTTAAATATATCTAAGCGACTTCAAATAAATTGCAATTATAAAGCTGGTAAACTATTATTCGATAGTTGCCAGTTTTGTTAAATAGAGACGATGTACGATCCAAAAATTCGCAAAATGACAACGTTGTACGGTTGAACAAACAATCCCAACTTCTTTTACCGGTATCTAGAAAACTATTTTCTGCTTACGACTTTTTTTAATTTGCGCCACTGTCCGCTTGAAACCGCCATGTGACGAGCATAATAAAATTAAACTTTGTCTTCATAAGCATTGACTCACTAGATATATTTATACAATGGTATGACATAAATTACCATTATTTAAAAAAAAGTTGGATAAAGACGTATTTTTTAGTTGATAAAGTTAAAATTAACTGAATTATTCAGTCAATTCTCAAATATTTGTTGTTTTCATTTGCGGTACCTCACCTTTTACCAACCTCTGGTGGATTTTTTAGTACTATGCACAGTTTGGTGCCATATTTTAAAAAGTATTTAAAACACCTGTAATATGTCATTCACCGTGAATAATAAACATTTTATGTAAATAGGTCCGAAAACGTTCCGTTTCCGAGATACAGGGTGTTAAAAGTGAAGTCCTGATGACATATTTTTGTAAATATATTCTAAACGTTTAAAGTGAAATTTGGAACAAATGCTAAACTTTTTACACTATATTTAATGGACTAAAACACAGTTTTATACATCTTCATTGGCGGGTAAATCAGGGGAGGTTTAGGGTAAATTTTTTTGTTGACAGTTTTTAACATTTTTGACTACATTTGGAAAACCAATGTTTTCTTTATAGTAAAGCTACTCCTGTTGCATCTCGCTAGGACGCACCATTTTCAAGAGTGAACCATTTTAAAATTTCATGATAAGTTCATTCGAAAGTGCAAACAATAATTAGTAGGCCTGCGGAATCAGAATTTTTTTTTCAGTTTTGGAAAACCGGTGACTAAAAAAATTTAATCAGCTTTAATAGTTTTTTAAATGTTTGTTTTATAAAGAAACTTTAAATGGTAAAACTAAATAGTATTTTAACTTAAACTAATAACATGTTTTTTTCCAAATGGTTTGGTTAGCTTTGATCCAATAAAACGATTTATGAGAATTTATTTCTTTAACTGTTAACGTTTAAACTATTTTAATTTAATCCTTAGGACGGTAAAAGTAAGTCAGATACGTTAAACATCATAAAATTATAGCAACACTGTATTTGAAATTAAGAATTGCTTATTTTTTTCTTGAAAATAGGAAGTTTAACTCAGGTAGAGAAGAAATCATTAGTTATTTTTAATTGCAAATGCTGTTTAATTATAATTTTAAGATTTTTAACGTGAAGTATCCACTTCTAAGGATGACTTAAATAGTTTTAAGGTGAAGGGGGGAGAAAAAGTCCTTTATATCTCACAAGGAAAGTCCAATGTTTAATTATTCAACAAAACATTGAGTGCGACCGGTTTCGAAGTAACATCACTTCATCTTCAGGCTCGCCTAGTGGAAAGGAGAATATGTGGTGTAAGGTGTGTTGACTTTGAGCCCACAATATATAAAATAGTAAAAATAGAAAAAACTCACCATACTCTCCATCCACTAGGGAATACTACAAACCAGTTTCATCAAAACGTGGGGGATGAAATAAATTGTAAAACAAAACAATGTTACAAGTTATAAAGTTAAAAATATTTGAAAAACAAATATTTTTAACTTTATAACTTGTAACATTGTTTTGTTTTACAATTTATTTCATCCCCCACGTTTTGATGAAACTGGTTTGTAGTATTCCCTAGTGGATGGAGAGTATGGTGAGTTTTTTCTATTTTTACTATTTTATATATTGTGGGCTCAAAGTCAACACACCTTACACCACATATTCTCCTTTCCACTAGGCGAGCCTGAAGATGAAGTGATGTTACTTCGAAACCGGTCGCACTCAATGTTTTGTTGAATAATTAAACATTGGACTTTCCTTGTGAGATATAAAGGACTTTTTCTCCCCCCTTCACCTTAAAATTACTTCAACTCACACATGGCTACCCCCCTTGTCAATGACTTAAATAGGTCAAAATGTCCACTATAATATATGCACTCCACAACTAATGCTTAAGTGTGTATTTTATTATTCTAAATAATTTGTAAATACATTACCTATTATGACCATTATCTGCATCAAACTAGCAAGAAAGCCTCTGATTTCTTTCTGAGCTATTTCCGCCACGTAAGTTGGAATGGAAACGAAGCCAATATTAATTCCGACTCCAGTAAAGACTCTTGCAGCATAAATAACTTCCTTTTTGGTAGCGCACGCTATTGATATCCAAGATATCAATAGAATCACCGAGGCTAATAAAATCGATTTTTTTCTACCGAGCTTATTCAGAATGAAGGCTGTAATTGGAATAGCGGAAACTACGCCGATGAGGAAACACGTTTCGATCCATTCCGCTTCGGTTTGGTTCATTTTTATGTGACTTCTTTCGCTGATGAAGTACGGTACCATCGGTGCACTCCAAGCGACGCACATGCCATCTGTTATTGATAGAATTGTGGCTGTAAAAAAAGTAAGTATAAAAAATTAGCGGAATGACAATGAAGAATAATTGAATTGTAGAAATGTAGAAGTGCGAGAAGGGAATTATCATTTCAGAAAAATGTTTCTCCACTGCAACTAATGAAACCACTTATATTAACAGAAAGAAAGGATACTCGCTCTTGAAATGGAAGGAACATTCTAAAAAACTTGCTTCTTATGTATTTGACACGTATTTTATTCTGACTCTACTGATAAAATGTTCATTCTGCAATAAATACTGGCTAATCGCTGTGAGCATCACGCCCGGACTATAGATAGCTATGAATTTCATGATTGACAGTTCTACGCGACGTAATATTATTTTTTTTTTATTTGGTGTCATCGGCATCGACTGCTAAGGCCATTAGCCGCGTGTTCTGTGCAGACTTTGTTACTGTTTCCCAGCGCCACTTTAGGAACAGCACTGTTAATTAGAATCCAACAGCGAATGGTCAAGTGGGGAATCCTATTTAGTTTAAATTTGCCTGAATAAAGATTGCGACGTTTGTTTAGGCGAATTTAAATTTAAAAATGGATAAATATAATGATTCTTATATGGAATTTGATAATAATACTTCTGAACTGACAAATTATGCAAATGAGTTAAGTAAAAACTTGTCTAACATAAGTTAGCTTTAATATTTCATTGTTTAAATTTCATTTTACTATGTTCAACTTCTACTGTGTCTGTAATCATGGAGAAAATACAGCCCGTTACTTGTGTTGGGATGAAAATCCGATACATGTGGTTCTTCACGCTCGTACACGCTCTCGTATAGAATTTTCATTTCAACCAAAATAGTGTTTACTAATTTTACACAGAATACCTAACTTTATAGGGGTATTTATTAATGTTTTATACGTAATTTATTGTTTAGTTATTATTAAATAAATAAATTCAAATTATTTTCGTAATATCCTTTCGAAAACGAGGATTTGATTCGTTAGCAAATACATTTTATAAACTCCCACAGACCTCACTTGGATCCTCATAATCAATGATATAGTTACACAGAATGCTTATCCATATGTAAATCAGACGGCGAAAAGCGTATTTTACTAAGCACAATTTCCTTTTTATCTAATAAATCTTTTTTATTTCCAACATGTTACGCCTCTGGTCAAATATCGTTGATGTCAGAATGGAACAAGATTTTCAGCGGCGTTATGAGTTCTCTCTTTGTTACCTAGTCTAAGAGTAGAACAACCTTAGACACGTTTCATTGGAGTTAATCCTGTCGCGACATCTGTTGGAACAAGTACAGAATTTGGCCTGTGCACTACATAAAGTTTTATGTATTTTTAAATTCATTTAGGTAGAGATAAGGAACATATAGATAGGAAATGCTCATAAGAAGCCCATGCTTAACAACGACCAGCTCTAACGCAGTTAACATCTGACCCACTATGTGGCACTTTCATCGATCTCAAACAAATAATGCATCGGAAAATTTAAAAACCTAATAATAAAGGTTGTATGAATATCGATATCGATGCACTCTCCTGTTCTGGTAAATAAATTTAAACAATGTTATTACGCTAAATTATTTATTAAAAAGAATACTACACCAGTCTGTTATTGCAAATCTATTCATGACAAATATTTTTTAATTTTTGATCGTTATTTGTAACTTTAATATTGTTTTATTTCATTTTTCAAACGAATGGCCAAACGGTGTCTTATTTAAAAACGTTGATTGCAAACTCAATAATGGAAATTCAAATATTTTTCTTCCTATATGAAATCTTCTCTCTAACGTTTTGAAGCCTTGTTCTTGTTCTAAAACAATAAATAATAAATAAATACTTACTTTTTAATAGAAGTTGGCTACTGTTTGTGTTGCTTACATGGCCAGATCTTTCTTAAGTAAATTAAAAAACGCCTCATTGGGGTTGTTAAATTTATTCATGTGGCATGTGTTACTAATGCAATAGGTGCTCCGACTTATTGTAATATTACATAATATAATTATTGTCCTCAAATTTCACACAAAAACAACCACAGCCATTTCGCTTAGTTAATCTAGAGGATAACACAATCATGAACTCAAAATTTAAAAATCAAATTCAGGATTCTACGATATACATACAACTATTTGACAATTATATTTACAAACTGTCTATTGCTGTCTACGTCTACTGTCTGTCTACAAACAACGTGTACCTTTAGTTAACATCTGAGACGCATAGATGACGCCATCGTTGCTGCGGTCGTTGCGTTTCCTATCTTTATGTTCCTAATCTCTGATTTGTTGAAGAAACCTTTAATATATTATATTTGAAATTAAGGCTAAAGACACACCCGGCTGTTCCCGCCGGGTCGGCCGCCGGCCGCCTCTGCCAAAACACACAAAGCGGTTCACAAAAAAGTAATGTATTTGTGTGAACAACTCCATTTATTTACATTACAGCATCCGCCGAGTGTGTCTTTAGCCTAAAACATAATTTACTACGTCACTGGTACTTATAGAACACTCTCGAAAGCACATCGTCATTTTCGGCAGACACCACAAATTGGTAGTTGAAGGTACCATTTCGGTAGGCGTGACAGACGACCGCCGACGCGACATACGACCGCCGACACGACCGAGAAGTGTCGCTTCACATCTAAAATACATACAATTATATGAAACACATTTCGCACGGCGCGACACGACCGAGAAGTATCGTCCTGGAAACACTTCTCGGTGCAAAGCTTTGCTGCGTATCGCACTCGAGGTCACTGTCCTCGGCATCGCTTTTTTTTTGGCGGTGATTTGGTCGGAAATTTCTTTCGATCTAGGCAGCGTTGCCAGATTTTAAAACAGTATGGGTAAAAAAACTGTAGATCTGAACAGTAGATTTTAATACAGGGGGAAATAATTAAAATTTGCAGTGAAGTAAATAAAAAAACAAGTATATAAGAAACGAAAAATAAACTTTTTGTCGACCCAAATTAGAAGGTAAACAAAGAATAAAAACAAATATTAACATTTTTAATATATGCTTAACGTACGGAATCAAAAAATCTGATGTGTCCAACACATGACTTTCCTATCTAGATATTATAGGCTTTTTCCGGTTATTTTGTACAACCTATTGCAGCACCTCTATAAATGTTTAGAGGATAAACTAACTATATACATTTTCCACATACATCTAACTCGAAACATTTTTCTATAGATATTCATTGAAAACGAAAATTTCATTACGGTCCATTTTAGAAAAATCATATAAAAAACAAAAATTATAGAGATCGATATCACAAATAACTTTTATTTAAACAATTTTGCTAAAAATTTTAATTTTTTTACATTTTGTCAAATTTCTCGAATACGGACCATTTTAGGAAAATTTTGTATAAAACAAAAATTATAGATAATAATATTGTAAGTAACTATTATTTGAAGAATTTTCTTCTCCAAACGTAAATAACCGATATATTTCATAAAATATAAAAATGGCCACTTATAAAGTACCCCCCCAAATGTTCCGACTCTGTCCAAAATCTAATCAGTTCACCGCAGGCGGGAATAAAGCTTAAGTTTAAAATTTGGTGTTTTTCTTTGTATCGGTTCATGAGTTATGGTGGATACAGACAGACACACACACACACACACACACACACACACACACACACACACACACACACACACACACACACACACACACACACACACACACACACACACACACACACACACACACACACACACACACACACACACACACACACACACACACACAAACACACATACACACACACACATACACACATACACATACACACACACACACGCACGCACACACACACATATACACACACACACACAAACACACATACACACATACACACACACACACACACACACACACACACACACACACACACACACACGCACGCACGCACGCACGCACACACACACACATATATATACACACACACACACACACACACACAAACACACATACACACACAGACAGCATCGCGAAAATAGTCAAAACGTAAAAATCCGTCGAAAACTCGAGGTCGAAAAAATCATGATTCCTATACTTTCCTTATATCTGTATACAGATAGGAAAGTAAAAATGTATGTTTACTATAATAACCAATAATATCGAATTGCGACACACGAATCTGTCACTATGTAGCAATAAAATTAAATTGGGTTAAAATTAAGCATATTTATAAAAAAAAAACTTCAAATTTATTTATATTACATGTATATCTTAATTATAAAAGAATATCTTGAAAACTTTATTTTTATATAAAATCGAGTGAAACTTAAAATATTTCTCCTTCTTTTGCCGTCACATAAAAATCTGCTATAAATACAACTCCCAAAAGTATTGCTAAAATTGTGGTAATGAGTTGCACGATATACAGTCCATATATAATTGTCATTATGGAAAAAACCACAATAAGAATACCCAATATCAGCCAGACGATTGAAAACCATTTCATGAACTCTACTTCTTTAATACCAAGTACTATAAAAACGATTAAGCTAAAAAAGTAAAAAATAATATAACAATATTGTATAAGGGTTAAGGTTCGATCAATTTCAGTGTGCAATTATAATAATACAAACTAACAATAGTTATTTATAAATAAGTGCAAAAAGTGTTTATTGCACGCGACGTGACAACACGTCGAGTGCAATAAACACTTTTTGCACGAGTTGCATATAATATTTTTTCTACGTTTATGCAAAAACCAAAAAAATGTTTTATTTAGACGACACTAAGTGCAGAAGAATAAAAAGCGTAATTTAATAACTAATAATTAGCATCGATTAATATTGCAAAAGTACCATGACTATGTTAAGAAAAATAATTTAACCAAAACTTTAGAAACAACTGTGTTATGAACAATAATTAAGCTTAAACGTTGTTTTTGCCACTAATATTAAAAGTAAATGTACAATTTTCAATATTAATATTTTTTAAAACGTAATACAATCTCACAGAAAATGAAAATGGACTAAATGTTTGGCGT